AGTCTTAAAACTCATTTGTAATAAGCATCAATGAAATAATTTTTGGGTGTTATTAAAGTGGACACCAAATCCAGAGAATCCCAGAATACCAGAAGCGTGAGTATGCTATGCATTTTTTAAAATTAAATCTTATTCAAAATTCACATCATAAATAATTCTGTAAAGATATTACAGAATTAATATACAAAATCATCACTCAGTTTTATGCTGTATCTAACAAATCATGAGAAAATTTATTTTGCTGTATCTAGTCCTGGTACATGAACACATACATAGCACATACATAACCAGGATTGGTGATATTATAAAATACTCTTTTTTCTCTCAACATTATGTGATAAACATGCTTCTTTAACACTATAAATAGTATAAATATCATTTTAATATTTGGATGACATTTTCTCTACTTGCCCAATCCAGTGCGGTCACCCACTGCACTTAAGTAGAATTGTGGAATTTTATCAGCAAGATTTTTCAAAAATCAGGCATTTGAAAGATAGAAAATCATTATATTGTAATGTTTTTTAATTGGAGAAGAGTTTGAAATTTATATGATTAAACAGCGTTCTATAGTTAAAGGAATTGAGGCTGGTGCTGTGGAGCAGTGGGTAAAGCTGCCGCCTGCAGTGCTGACATCCCATATGGGCGCTGGTTCGGATCCCAGCTGCTCCACTTCCGATCCAGCTCTCTGCTATGGCCTAGGAAAGCAGTGAAAGGTGGCCCAAGTCCTTGGGCCCCTACACCTGTGTGGGAGACCAGGAGGAAGCTCCTGGCTTCCTGGCTTTGGACCAGCACAACTCTGGCCGTTGTGGCCATCTAGGAAGTGAACCAGCTGATGAAAGACCTCTCTCTCTCTGCCTCTGCCTCTGCCTCTGCCTCTCTGTAACTCTGCCTTCAAATAAATAAATAAATCTTTTTTAAAAAGGCAAAGGAATTAAAGGTACTAGTGGATCTGTAGAAAGGACCATCGTTGTGGGAAGAATGGCAGTTGGAACTTCTTCAGCTATGATAATAGTTATGTGATCTGGGACCAACTACACAGCTTCTTCGGGACATTTTTCCTCAAGTTCTCCTCAACTAGATTTTAGTTTTAGGGATGTTGGGTCTACCTGCCTAAGATGCCCGAATTGGTTTCTTAAAAAATAGCATTTCTAAACTAATTTATAAAACTAGGAATCATGAATCATATAATGTACTTGTCATAGCATTGGGCACTCAGTGTGTGTTCAACACATGCTTCCTACTGCCATTATTACGGTTATAACGATGATGATTTGTACTAAGTCCTTACTTGGGTTGGGACCAGCATATCCTAAAATTTTTCCTCAGTTTGTTGTCAAGTAAAGTGAGTTATCTACAGAATTTCTTCACCTTTCCCTTGGATCTTTTATTTTTGATGCTCCAGAATTATTGTGGCACTCTCTTGCACATGGAGAAAGGTCAGAATGAGATTAAGAAACTTTTTTTCCTGCCAGAATAGTTGTTTATCAAGAGGAAATGAACTCTCAGAACTATAGAGATGTGGATATCCTCTAATCCTCATTCATCTTTGACTGCTTTTGCCAATGCAAGATCTCTACTTAAAGAATATCCTCAAGTGACTTAAAAGTGACTTCAAGAAGTGGTGTTTCCAATTAGGCTGATATTTGTCATAACTATTTTATTGGCTCTTGATAGTCAGAGTGAATTGCTGCAATTACTCTCCACAATTACAATGAATCAGTTCACAGGAGCAATTACAAAATAAAGAGTGAATTACGTGGCAGACTGAGTTCTTCTTAAGGAACTAGTTACCGCAACGTAACCAGGCCCTACACCATGTTACAATAGAATCACATACTCTGTTTTGAATTCATTATTATACTTCCAGATGTTTCCAAACTTTCTCAGTTAGTTGGAGGAGTGATCAGCTTTTTGGAAGCCAGAAGAATTGACTGCAGATGGTATAATTTTAATTTTGAACAAAAGTTTGTTCTTGTATTCCTAACTATATAAATTGACATTCTGGTTTCACCACTTACTAGCTGTGTGTCCTTGTCCAAGTCATTCAATCTCACTATGACTGCTTGTCTATTTTTATATGAAGATAAGTGTAGTTACAGCAATGTAATATTTGAGAACTAAATAAAATAATACATTCTAAACACATAGAGTGCAGCTTAATATATGGAAGTGCTCAAAAAGTGTTAGATATTATTTTCACTATTAATTTTAGAATATGATATATTTTCCTACCTGTATAACTCATGCAAATGTAAATCACCTTAGATTAGGTATTAATAGTACATATGGTGAAAGCTGTACACTTTACAATTCAAAAACCCTAGGTTCAGTACTAGGCACACCAATAATTAATTTCAGGGACAAATTGAGATCTCTGAGAAATCACTGAACTGAAGCTCTGTGTAGATGTCAATACACACTTTGTACTAGAATCAAATAAATCCCAACTGCTGTATATTCATGTTACCCTCTCATATTTACTATTTTTTGGTACTCAAATCACATTTTTACTGACTGACTGACTCACTGTATTTACTCAGCTTCCCTGTGAGAGTGACTGATACGTCATTACTTCAGTTCCAAAGATGAGAATCCAAGACTCATTATGAAGTTTTAGTCAGAAAACCAAAACGTGGTGGAATTAGAACTGGAATTTAAATTTTTTAGATCAAAATAATAAATTCATCTTTAGTGACTTTGTATTTATCTGAAAAAATATATCATTCTGATGGAATACCCTTTCTCTATATTAAGTTGACAGGACCTATTTTGTCAGCACAGACATATGTAACAATAAAAAAGGGTCTAATTTTCCTCTGCTTTTGACAATTCAGGTAGTTGTCAAAGTACTGATCTGGGGCTTGATAATATTGATAAATTATTTAGCAAACTTCTTGAAATGACTTCTTTCCTCCATAAACAAATATATTAGTAAGAGTATTATTGCATATTTCAGGATGAGGTCAGAGAGAGAAAGAGACAGACAGACAGAGAGAGTGTCTCCATCTGCTGGCTCATTCCCCAAGTGTTCACAACAGTTGGAACTGGATGAGGCCCCAGCAAGGAGCCAGGAACTCAATCCAGGTCTCCCATGTGGGTGTCAGCAACTCAAGTACTTGAGATTTCTGGTAACTGAAGTAAGGAGCAGAAATGGGATGCACATCCCAGAATTCTGATATGCTCATAGCATCCCAAGTGGCATCCTTTATTCCTGAAGTTTGTTTCCATTTTTTTAAGAACTAGAGCAGATAGAGAAGCTGTTACTAAGAAAATGAATGAATTTCAGTGAGCATCCAGTGGAAGTGTGTGAAAAGGTAAGGTGGAGAACATTGTAGGGAGAGGGAACAAACAAAGCAAAGTCAAAGAAGGTAAAACAAGCCTGGAATTTTGAGAAATAGCCAGGAAGTTCCAAGGTTGGCAGGAAATAAACAAGGAAAGAAAGAACAAGATCAGGTAATGTGTCCTGTACCCTTTCAGTGATTCAGCCTTTGTTGGTATATGATGGAATTGGCTGGAGGGTTTGAGAAGAAATGAGAAATAATTTGATTATGAATAATCACTCTGCTATTTTGATATAGACAAAGAAAATAGATAAAGTGAATCAGGACACTATTGCAAGAAAATTTTAAATGAAATTATGGTGGTTGCATCAGTGTTACAGAGGTAGAAAAGGAGAAAATATTCACACTTAGATACATTTTGGATATATTTTACTGTTACAGCCCAGGGAATTTGTTAAAATGTGTTATATAGAATAACAGGAAAACAATAGAGTCAAAGTGGTTTCAGGCCTTTTTTGAATATGAATGGTACCATGTGTTGTCCTTACCTGAGAAGAAATAGCAGGATTAGCAAAATGGCAGTGGGAAAGAGCTCACTTTTGGATGTCCTAAATTTAAATTACTTACTAGCACTGGAAGCAGGAGTATCGAGAAGGCAGTGTGTAAGTGTGGCAAGACCTGAGCTAAAATTTAAATTTCACAGTCCCAGTTGTATATATAGGTTTTAGATCTTGAAGGAGATTCATTTTATAGAAAGTAGTGGGGCATGGTCAAGATGTGAGCCATTGTGCGTTTTGTTTAGGAAATATCGAGGGGACTAAGAAAATATGAGAGGCTTGGGGAGAATAACTGGTAGGAAGCTTCATTGTAAAAATAAATCAAATTTTTAAAATGTAAGCTATATCTGTAACAACTAATTGCCTCCTTCACTCCAGGATAGAGTTTAGGATGCTGTATTTGAATATCTATTACATGCACATGGCAGATATACTTAAAGAAATAAAACCATCACACACATGCACACACACACACAGACACACACACACATAGATACAACATTTTCCTTGTCTTCAAAACTCTACAAAAGGGAGATGGAATTGGGAACCTGAGTTTTAAATCTCATAATAAATAACAAGCAAGTCTATGGGACCACAGATGAAGTTGAGATTAATTTTTATTGGCAGCTCCATGGGGAGAAAAGGTAATATTTGTCCTGGGTATTATCTAAACTAAGAGTTTTTTGGGTAGGATAAGGGAACAGATAAAAGAATAGTGACATTTCAGGCAGATAAGACAGCATGAGAAAGAGCATGGTGGTATAAAAGTCCAGATTATATTTAGGAATGCAGAGATCTTTTAGCTAATGAAAGTAGAGTATGTAAAGATGATGATGAAAAGCAACAAATACACCCATTTTCCTTTGTGAGAAATCTTGCTCATCAGTGCAATAGTAAAGAAAATTTGATAAACTAAGATGTTTTTTCTAGGCCAAATATTGTGATTACTATCATTTTCTTAAAAGTCTTTCATATTTTAGGACAAGCTTCAAGCATGACATATTGTAAGGTGAATAAACACTTGGGAAATATATAGAAATATACATTGTTTCCTGAATGATAATCAAATAGATAGGTTCTAATTTAAAATAATTTTGCTGGTGCTATTTTATAACTTCATTAAATATAATTCCATGTTTTAATTTTATCTCTTTCCTAGAAATGGTTCTCTTTACTCTGATTCTGCAAGATCATCGAATGAGAGAGGGGCCAAATATTCTGAAACGTCATCTGATGCACTGAATGTGAGTGAGTGCAGTATTAATAGATTTTGTTTCTATAGTAGAAAGAAAAATCGTGTCATATGTGATTTACAGTGCCTTGGAAGAGACTATATTTGTGAACTGATGTGGTTAATTGCTGGATGCTTGCCATCTGCCAAACTCTCATTGGCAAGTGTGAGTTGATGCACATACCTGGCCCACTGATTCTGTACCCCACTTCCCCTTTTGCATACACATTGCCGTTCTGCCTGGAATCACGATGTCTCTGATAACTACTCAACTTTCATTAAAACTTTGAAAGCTGCTTTATGACTCCAGCTGCATGTATTCCCACAGATTGTACATTGTGACTTCTACTGACCTTATATCTCTTCCCTTTATTGTTCTTTCTCTTAACACTCTGGCCTATGAAATGCCACACTTAGATTTCTGCCCTAATAAAGGTGAAGTCAGACACCGGGTTCTCTTTAACTCTCTAGTGCTCTATCAACTCAATCTCATACCATAGTTCCCTTTCAGTTGCCAAGTTGACATATATTTTGTTTCTGCCTGCTGCTGATGGGAATTTGACCATTTAAAATATTCCAGTCCTTTCCTTTTTGTTCCAGTTCAGTGTTCTTCTTGGGCTCAAACCTTCCTCCAACTTTGCTGTTCCAGATGACCCAATCTCCTGGTTCATTTTCTTTAGATCTTAAAATACCTCTGTTTAGATTTACCTACATTCTGCTTCTTGTTCCTTCAAATAACACCTTTATTAAATTTTAATCTTAGCACTTTCCCTTCCTTAATGACTTTTCTGAGTCAAATATTCCTCTGTAGATTTGTATTTCTCTATTTTCTTCCACAAAGACAAAAATAAAACATGTTTATGTTTCCTTTTCCTGGAAACATTAAGCCTATTAAAATCAAATTAAACAACCCTCCTTCACTGCACTATTATCTTGAATTTTCCACAAAAATTCGCCTCCTTTATTCATTCGTACATTTCTAAAAAACTGTTCACATTTTTCTACATGTTTTTATTTTGTTATGTGATTTATTTCTGGTACCCAGCTTAGTATCTAAAATGGCAAAGGTGAAATTTTGTTTTAAATATTTATCCAACAAGTTGATGGGAATTATATACTACTTTGGTTTTATGATTTTATGCTTATTTTAAAATTTAATTTTTGAATTAAATAGAATATCTATACTTTTGATTATTGTGGGTAGACAGTGCTTATTTTCCTGCTGCACTGTGGACTTGTTACTACTTACTTGTTGAACTTTTTTTTTTGACAGGCAGAGTGGACAGTGAGAGAGAGAGACAGAGAGAAAGGTCTTCCTTTGCCGTTGGTTCACCCTCCAATGGCCGCCGCGGCTGGCGCGCTGCGGCCAGCGCAGTGCGCTGATTCGATGGCAGGAGCCAGGTACTTATCCTGGTCTCCCATGGGGTGCAGGGCCCAAGCACTTGGGCCATCCTCCACTGCACTCCGTGGCCACAGCAGAGAGCTGACCTGGAAGAGGGGCAACCGGGACAGAATCCGGCACCCCGACCGGGACTAGAACCTGGTGTGCCGGTGCTGCAAGGCGGAGGATTAGCCTAGTGAGCCATGGCGCCGGCCTTGTTGAACTTTTAATATAGTCGGTTCAATAATCCTTTGATTAAAATGTAAATTCAAAATATGTTATCTCAAAAATAACAAATAAAAATGTTAAATAAATAAAAAATATTGAGATAAATATTAGAATGGTAGGGGCTCAATACTTAAATGAATTAACTATAGTTCCCTCTCACTTCCCACTTTCTGTCAGAGTATTAAATTTTTTCTTCAAGTACTGCATAAATTACCCTTATCAAGATAACCAATCACAACAGCTCTTTCTTCTACTATTCAATTAAAATTAAAATTAAAATTCTCTTTTTTATTCTTTGTCTCTGCTTCTTTGTCTGCTCAGTCCCTCAAGGTTAGGAGACTAAAGTTGTTTATTTCAGTAGCCTCCCTTATTCTTAGCTAGCAGCTTACTACTCCATATTTAGTAAGGAATTTAATTAATAATATTAAGTAAGAAAGATATCTTAACAATTCTAACATTTCCCTCACCACTTACTATTATCTTTAACAAAATGCTTGATTCCTGAAATTAAAATGTGCAAGTGTAATAGAGTAGCCTGTTATAAACAATTTTGAAATCATTAAAAGAAAAAATGTTAAAACTTTATTTATTTATTTGAAAGGCAGAATTACAGAGAAGCAGAGGCAGAAAGAGAGAGAGGGAGAGAGAGAGAGAGAGAGAGAGAGAGGTCTTCCATCTGTTGGTTCACTCCCCAGATGGCCACAATGGTCAGAGCTGCACCAATCAGAAGCCAAGATCTAGGAGCTTCTTCTATTCTCCCATGCGGAGAACTTGGGCCATCATCTACTGCTTTCCCAGGCCATAGCAGAGAGCTGGATCAAAAGCAGAGCAGCCAGGACTCAAACCAGCGCCCATATGAGATTCCAGCACGGCAGGTGGCAGCTTTACCTGATACACCACAGTGTTGGCCCCAGAAGAATTTTTTAAAATCCTACACTAAATGAATATGTGGCATTAGTGTATTTGCTTTACATATTTATTTATGATGAATATATTTATATTTATAAATATACAGCATTTATATTTTCATTTATGATGGAAAGATCTGTATGTGTATATGTTAGACACACACACATATGCACACCTCTAATCTTGCCACTTTAATAAACTATGATGGAATTTTACTGCTTTAGGTTCTTGCAATGCATGTTAATTGGGGCTCTATGATAAATATGACGTTATGTATGTCTTAGAACTTAGACAAGTACCAAGTAAAGAAATAAAGTAGACTATAAACCCCTAGAAGTGAACATTGTCAGAAAAGAGACAACCTAAAATCTGAAAGCACTAATTAAAATTGCATACACACATATGGGTCTAAAAATGTGGTTGTAGGTAGTTGATAAAATAATTGTTACTGACTAAATTATTTGTAAGGAAAAAATAATAAAATCTTCTAGGTAGGTCCCTTAAAACATAAACAATATAAAGTAGGAAAACCCTAAGAAACTGCTTTAGCAATCTGACAAGGATTTAGGAACTTCTCTGCACTAGTCTTTCCTCTGTATTTATTATTTGCCACCCCAAAATAAGTTCTCATTCCTTGCTATTCAACTGTCTTCATCCTCCAACACTTGTAGATCAGAAACCTAAGTCAAGCATATTTGCATGATGTCTTGTATCTGAGTCCTTCGGGACACTGTTTCAGGTAATTGCTTACAGCTACAAGCACTAAAACTCATGGATTAAAGTTTCCCCTCCACACACCTTGCTCAGACCTTTGGGAGACCTTTCAATCAATGGAAAGGGATCATGCAAATCCAAACTGATTGGTAGCCTCATAGGCAAAAAAAATTATTTTTAATTAGTTTTTCTGTTTTGTCATTTGTTGTGACTTTATATAAATAAATAAATTATACAAATAATTTATTTAAGAAAATATGTTAGGCTTAATTAGTTTGTTCTCCAGTAAGAAGTCTCAAATGAAACCTTTTTCCAGACTTAATATTATGTTCATCATATAGGTCACTGTTTATCAGAGGGGTATTGGCAAACTAATTTCCAAAGAACTGTCATGTGTCTCTTAAAGAGAGGTGTATTTTCTGAGAAATGCATCCTTAAGGCATTTCTTTGGTGAAGAAATATCTTGCAGTGTACTCAAACAAGCCTAGGTGCTATAACCTACAATACACAGAGGGTGATAGAACAGCTTGTTTTTGAATGTATTTTTTCTCTTGTAAATTTTTGTTAAAATCATAGAGATACAGTTTTTAAAACTTTTATTTAGTAAATATAAATTTCCAAAGTACAGTTTATGGATTACAATGACTTCTCCCCCCCCATAACTTCCCTCCCACCCACAACTTTCCCATCTCCCGCTCCCTCTCCCATTCCATTCACATGAAGATTCATTTTCAATTATCTTTATATACAGAAGAACAATTTAGTATATATTAAGTAAAGATTTCATCACTTTGCACCCACACAGAACAAAAAGTGTAAAATACTGTTTCAGTACTAGTTGTACCATTAATTCACATTGAACAACACATTAAGGACAGAGTTCCTCATGAGGAGTAAGTACACAGTGACTCCTGTTGTTGACTTAACAATTTGACACTCTTGTTTATGGCATCAGTAATCTCCCTAGGCTCCAGTCATGAGTTGCTAAGGCTATGGAAGCCTTTTGAGTTCGCCGATTTCGATCTTATTTAGACAAGGTCATAGTCAAAGTGGAAGTTCTCTCGTCCCTTCAGAGAAAGGTACCTCTTTCTTTGATGGCCCCATTCTTTCTACTGGAATCTCACTCGCAGAGATCTTTCATTTAGGTCTTTTTTTTTTTTTTTTTTTCCAGAGTGTCTTGGCTTTCCATGCCTGAAATACTCTCATGGACTCTTCAGCCAGATCCGAATGCCTTAAGGGCTGATTCTGAGGCCAGAGTGCTGTTTAGGACATCTGCCATTCTATGAGTCTGCTGTGTATCCCATGTTGGATCATTCTCTCCTTTTTAATTCTATCAGTTAGTATTAGCAGACACTAGTCTTGTTTGTGTGATCCCTTTGACTCTTAGACCTATCAGTGTGATCAACTGTGAACTGAAATTGATCACTTGGACTAGTGAGACGGCATTGGTACATGCCACCTTGATGGGGTTGTATTGGAATCCCCTGGCACATTTCTAACTCCACCATTTGGGGCAAGTCCGATTGAGTATGTCCCAAATTGTACATCTCCTCCCTCTCTTATTCCCACTCATATTTAACAGGGATCACTTTTCAGTTAAATTTCAACACCTAAGAATAATTGTGTGTTAATTACAAAGTTTAACCAATAGTATTAAGTAGAACAAAAAAATACTAAAAGGGATAAAGTATTAAATTGTACATCAACAGTCAGGATAAGGGCTGATCAAGTCACTGTTTCTCATAGTGTCCCTTTCACTTCAACAGGTTTCCTTTTTCTGT